TTGCAATTCAAGGATATCAATCAAGGGTGGTTTTCAAGGATATTCAGTCAGATTATGGATTGTAAAAGAGGTTCTTTCAACCAAAGTCCTGTCCTTTGTGTGCTTCTGTTATTGTTTTCCTGCCTTTCAGTGGTCTTCAGTCGCACGCGTAGCTGCAGGCCTTCGCCTCTAATCTATGTAAAAACTAAATAGAGCCTTGGTTGAGCTTAGATGGAGAGGATATTAAATAAAAGAACTTTTACCACAAACGAAGACTCCAAATTTTGGTATTAACAAAAATGGCGGCGAACAAAGGGTGACTGGTGCAAAGGACTGTGGTTGAAAGAGACTCTTAAGTTATCTACTTCATTGAAGACGACAAAACCTGGACCAGGGGGTCCATGATTCCATCAAGGGAATTAATCCATAAGTTTGTGTGCTTGCATGTCTTTGGTGTGAAACCTTGTTTACCTATACAGTATTTATTTGATACCTTAGAGTGGTGCTTATTAAATTTTCACTGTTTTCAGCAAGTAGTAGTAATATGCCATAAAGCAATAAATATCAACAAAATTAAGATGCATCATTCTAAGCATTATGTTCATTAAAAGTTTCTTTAAAATACTAAGAAAACTTGTCCTTCAGTGAAGTCTCTAATATGTCATTAAGGTCAATTAGCACACTCTTGGTTATTCCTCTTGTGCATTTCAGTTTTTTTGGAGGCGTGGGTTGGCGCTTATTTAAGGCTGTACCTTATTAACCTTTCCTACCAACAGGGTGAGAACTTCTTAAACAAAATGATTATGATGATTATAAATTATCACAAAAATTCTGTACCTTTACTACTGCTGCTTCCTGGATTGTCAATTACAGCAGTTGGGGCTTCACTGCTGTAATCACCTGGATCTGCGCATGGATTGTCAACACAGTCTGAAGTAGATTAATGATATGGATTGATGGTATTCTTCGAATCAATATAATGGTGATTATAAACATGTATTACTTATTATAAACCAATAACATCAATTCTTTTGGTAATAAAATTAAACCATGTTTTTCTCTACCTTTACCTTTTGCGGCCTGCATCCGTTTGCCAGCTTCAAGACCCTGGTGGTAAAAAGGTATTTGTTTGAATAAAATTTAAAGTTATTAGGAAACAATGTTACGATATACAGCCAACCCATGTGTGCCAGACAAGCTCCCATAATCAACCACTAGCTGGAGGTTTGACAGACCAGGTTAATTCTGAAAGAGTAAGATCATACCATGTCAAAGGCTTTCCTCTTCCTTGGTGTCAAAGATATGTATCTTTGTCTTGTTTTAGGTGTTAGGTCCTGAAGAAAAAAAGAATCATTTATAGTATTTGTCAACTTTATTTTTAAATCTACTTGCCTGGAAAAAAACATTTTAAGGATTACTCTCAAGGGAACACATAAATGATATGAATGCAGTCTTCATTTGGGGGTCTGTCTTTTACTAAGTATATAATAAATTTATGCTTTCTACGTATATCCCTTATACTTGCCTGTGACACCCCAATGTTGTCAACAGGTGACCTTTCTGATGGTCTCGTGCCAGATTGCCTCTCACATTCTGTTATAAAAAAACTCTAATATTTAATAGATCAATACAGTTGATTTCAACAATAACAGTGATTTCATTTACTGATTTCATGTATGCATGGTGATTAGTTTCTTGCTCTAGTTTGGTGCAGCACCTGTCAGAGTGTGATGTAAAGAGTCAGGCTCAGGAATGATAATTTACACCAACTTCCTTATTTTCAAAATTGCCAACATAATAAATTTTATAGCAGGTACAATGTAACATCACAATTTAGACAAGCATGAAACTGAAAGCTAAAAGCAAACCTAACCCTATAAATAACAATAAGGAGTCCAAATAACAAATTTAAAAACCCAGGCTAAATTCAGTTTTAACCCATTTTTATAAGAACCACACTTGCCTAAAATTTGGAAACTACTTGCTCTTTTTCTTGGAAATCACTTCAAAATGTTCACTTTTAGGGATATGAGATATGTTGGCATCGTTGATCCTCATCTGGGCACCTAGGAGCCTTTTCACCTAGTTGCAGTGTATATAACTTCCAGATGTTGACAATCATCAAATATTATTTATTGTGAGTCACAATCACATTTAAATATAGATTACAAATATAAGAAAATAAAGGCTGATTACAACTAAAAACTCTTTTAGCAACTCTGTCATCAACCTGAATTGCCTAAAAAAAATTGTCATTTATGTATTAGAACCTTTTTATAATACTTATATAGGCTACCCTGGGAAAATGCAGGTTCTTACTCTCAGGTTTTTAATGTAGAGAAAGATGAGGTATACAACTGAAAACCAACATATACCATCTATAGCTTGCTTGAGGTTTTGTTCCATGGCCTTCAGCGTCTTTTCCTCCTCTGGAGTCAGTTCAGGCATACTGAGGTCATCCTGACTTGGGGCCTCTTCTTCTTCATTAGGTTTTTCCTTAATCACTCCTGATGCTTTTTTGATCAAATGCCAGAAACATGCAAGAGAATGAACATTATCAACGTAGCATTGTTTAGTTTTTACTCTCCCTCAATTATCCGTAATTTACAAAAAGCAAACTTTAATAAGCCTGATTGGCAGTTAATGTGTAACCAATTTTTAATGATCTCAGAGCAGCTGATTTCTGCTCTTTTTTTGCAAACATATCTTTTAAATGCAGGACTAGAGATTAGGCATCACAAAATTAAGTGCTATGTATTAATATATATTTTCGCAGATGCTTAAATTAAGCTTTGGTAGCAGTCAAGGCATAATGTTGCATTAAAATATATACCTAAGTTAATACTCACCATATTTGATGTAATTTGTAGTATATGGCCTTAGGAACGAAAAGGGTATGGGATATGCCCTATGTTGAACGGTGTTCTCGCGCTTTGACAAATTACTCAGGGTACCATCTGAATGTCTACAGAAATAACACCCTATTGTTGCAGGGTTTTCCACCATGTCCTCATACAATCGTCTTATTTCCTATAAAATAACATCAATCATAATCATTTTTTCTGTGATTAAAGAAATCATATTTTAAAAATTTTAAATTCGATGAAGCACTGGCTCCTGGAAATGTACAGGTACATACCTGTCCCGAGAACTCAGACTCTCCCACCCACCTTTGAGTTTTTGTTGTGCTTCATTTTATTCCATTTTGGCGGCTGAGACCCCCCTCCCCATTGGAATTTCCCATGATCTTCTTAGGGTGGGTATGGCATTTTCAGGAACAATACATTGTAATTTTAACTTAAGGTTTAGGTGTGCATTTAGAGTGCCAGAGGAGTCAGATTTTAAATGTAAGAAACACATTTTTCTCAACAATATGATCTGAAGTATTAATTTATTAACATAAGGAGTAAAACATTCCATTCCCTGGTCTCAAACAGTGTACACCAAATATTACAGGGCAAGGTGCCTTGGTGCAGCAATTACCCAACAAACTTTTTTGACAAGTTGAATGTCCAACCAGACAGTGAGAATTTCTTTGAACTGTAACGCTGGTCCTCCTTTTAACGTTAAAAGACATCACAACCAAACCGTTGATTACATTTGCAAACAAAGTTGTGGGAATTGAATTTGGGCACAATACATGTACAGAGCTAACTAACTTGTGAAAAATGTTTGTTGGATAGCTACACTAAGTTAAGTTGTGCTACAAGATTAAGGCAAAAGAGGTAAACAATCATTGAGAGCTTACTGTGTGGGAGACACTGGCAAAGCCATCAATAGTGGTGCTCTTTATTGCCACTCCAGGTACTTTCCTCCCTGTTTTGTCAACCACATTTACTCCAGGATGCAACCAAGTGAGGACCTTGAATTCACATTTACTCGCCATTAGTTGACTGTTTAAATAGCATTGACTGTTGTAATAACAGTCTAAATTTTTAATCCAATACTTACACTTTTTTCATCAGACTTGACTGCAGAGAGAATACTTCTATCTAATTTCTGAAGAGGTGTCAACTCACTGGCCTTATGTGTATCTTCTGATAAGGTGTCGTATATCAAATATGAGATGACATTGCCAGTTTCCGCAGGTCTTCCTATCGATAATCTAATCTAAATAAGGGATAAAACAATAAAACACATTAAAAAAAGAAAAAGTCATCTTCAGAGTCAAGTGAATTAAAAGTGTTTGTCAGTCAATGTTTTGTTGATCTGTATCATTAAACATTGATCATCGAATGACAAACACTATTCACTTGACTCTGAAGATGACTTCCGCTCAGGTTGTCGAAACGTCAGTCACCAACAACAGTTCTTTTCAGAACTACTCTCACCTGGACGATCACAACATACGAACTTAACTTACCATTGTGTTCGCTAAAACAACAGAGGTGACACCTTTCAGCCATCTCTGTTGTGACTGAGCTTGTTCAAAAACTCTTGACAGTATGGACATTATAATACCAGAGGCCTCAGAGTAGATCCTCTTCCAAATGTCCAGGTACATCACTGCCCATGCCAGGAAAAGGCCCTTAATTTAATGGTAAAAAGGAATAAGAGTAATAAAAAATTAAATAGTCACTGTTGTTACTATTAAATAGTCAAACTGCATCTACTTTCCAACTAGTAAATATTTGTGAAAGATGAAATAATCAACAATGGCACAAGCCTGGAACATAACTATTTTCTGATGATACCTTATTTTCCTGCATGTGAGGTATCAGGGAATTCTCCATTATCCAGCTGTCATGTGCTTGCACGCCTTCTCTAGGGCCGGTGTAATTGAAACAAACCACACGCCCAACGATTCTAAAAACAAAACATGTTGATCTGTATCATTAAACATTGATCATCATGCATTATAATATACGACTTTAGACCACAAAATGTTTAACAACTGTGCAAGAATCTAGTGCATTGACACCCTTTACATTGGCCTCTCTAAATTTGTAGGTACAAATACATGCAGTGGAGCTAATTTATATAAAATTAAAATTGACATTTAATATAAATTTTTAAAAATATTAAACTGTACTGACCGGGTGCAAAACATACCGTGATATTTCTGGGGAATTAGATGACAGTAAAACCCCAGCTCGTGATGCACTCATGCCCTCTTTCTTAGACCCAGACAACAGTCTGCCCTGTACTTGTAGAAGGAACTCCCCAAAAGGTTTATTGATGTCTGGGTCATCAATAAATACAACACCATTTGTTGATGTCAAGCTGTCCTGCATCTTTTTACTGCAAAACAATACAATAAGCTATAGACATTTTATAACAGAACGGAACTGTGACTAGTTAAAATTTAAACTTAACACATGTCATACCCTTTGCAATTCCTCCCCCCATGCCTTCACACACACACAAACTCAATCACAAGAATCCTTCCCCGACCCATGCACATACAAATTGTTGTGATTTAAATATATGACTTGGCTTACAATTTATTTATTATCCAGTTTGGTTTTTTGAACTTTTTTCAGATTTAAAGAAAGGAGTATAAGACAATGAATGGTGAAAATCAACACTGGTTTTAAAACACGGAAACAAGAACAAAATTTAGCAAAACAAAATTTATAGACATGATAAGGTCTTCACTAAAATAAGTTATACAAGGACTAATACCACTGAGACGTACGCAGAAGTGCCACAAAGGTTTTGATTTCCACCACTTAGGAACTTCAAGTGGACACGGGTAGGGATCCCTTGGGCAAGGGCAAGTAGATAAAGACTGAGTGACTTGCCAATGCACTTTGTCTCGGAATAAATCATTCCAAGTGAACTTTCAGCTGCAAATGGTAAAATATGGATAGTGACAACAATTTACACAATATCATCCTTTTCAAACATTATAGTTTAGGTGTAATTATATAAATATAATTTTGCATATGATTTATCATTTCTTCAAATGGACAATTGATCGAGGCACTCTATCTTTTGGAGTGAAAAAAGAAACAACAACAACAACAACACTAAACAATAATAACAAATTTTGAATATGATGACTTACTCCACACATCACCCGGCGACGTAGCATTTCTCAAAATCCTTGAAAGGACAAACGCTGCTGCCAGTTGAAATGCCGGAGTATTTTGTCCAAAGCATTGGGACAAAGTATGGAACCTTAAGTTAGATGGAAAATAAAATATGTTCAGCAAGACGTGCTATTGGCAATAGGATATCAGCTGATCATGAGACTGCACCCAAAGGTACTGACAAATGAAAAAAAAAATCAATTGGCTTATTATTTGAAACTGATCTAACACAACTGATTAGGAACACACTTATCCAATTAATCAAAGTAATAATAACAAAATTCTCAAACAATATGCCACTATATGATACATCATTGTCATATTTTAAATGGAATGTTTATTATAGTATATACCTGTGGAAGGCCTGCTTGAGACATCCATAATTAAGCAGGTCACTATTCACTACCAACTCATACTGATTAAGGTCAGAGTTAGTGATGAGATATCTTTGCTCCAAGGCAGTAAGGAGCCTCTTTCCCTCGATTTGAATCTATATTGAGAAACAAATAAATTGCACTTACTGTAATTGCTCATTATATTCTTTTCAAAATCGCGGCCTCAGGTTCATTCTTTTAACCCCCCAAAAATTCGCAAATTTCAGCCTCAATATTCTTAAAATACATTTTCTTAGGGAGCAAAAGGAGTGTATGCAAGTTAACAACTAGAACTCAAGGGAGTACAATATTTCTGTAAGTCAGACATGTACTAAAACATCTGCAAACCCAAAAGTTAAAGGTAAAATATCAAGTAAAACCTAAGCTTATATATTGCTAAATCTTTAGAGAGACAGCATAATTTGTGTAATAAAATTTTATATATGATTTTCCAAATGAAATTGTCCAGTATAACTTCATTAACTATGGGACTACTGTCCTATGAATTGCGGACAACCTGCTGTATAGGTCTTCAAGGAGAAAAGAAAAACGGCAAAAAAAAAACAGAAAAGAAAAACCTTCGCAAAATTCTGGTCAATCACCTCAGAAGAAAGGAGCCAGTAGCTTCCCTCTTGAAACCCGATGTACTCGGCCTCCTTAAATTTTCGCTGTCGCTCTTGTTCCACATAGTCGTTCTTTAGGTATGAAATGTATGCTCCAATATCGGTTCCAGACACCTTATTTCCTAATAAAAACGTCCCGCCTCCGAACGAGGCCCGCAAGCCGTCCAGGAAACGTTGCTTGGAGTCGAAGACGCCCACACTTAGCACTATATTTCTTTTTAAAAAAATAATAAAAGAGAAATAAATTGTAATGTTTCACCAAAAAATAAAAACTTACCATCAATCTAAAGTGGTAGAAAATCGCAGGAAAACGTCGCTCTTTTGATAGCTTGTGAAATTTAATGCAATTGCACATGCTTGCCAGCATTTAAGTCTGCTGACAGTCGCGATTGCGTTATAAAGTTTTGCTTGACAATGTGCTAGAATTATTGGTTGATATACTTCGAATTCCCGAGTAAAGTAAATGTGAAGAAAATATATTTATCCTATACATACTGAGATTTTCGCGCCAAAAATCAATGAAATAAATTTCATCCCTGTGCGTGATTGCTGGCTTCTGATTAGTCGGACGGTTTTTGTCACTAGTGAAAAATATCGTCCGACCAATCNACCCAGGAACAAAATTCAGCTTTTAAACCTTTTAAGACTACAAAATGATGATAACATTAGCATTAACTGATAAAAAGGGGGCTTAATGTACCTCAATTGTTTCTTGGCCCGACTCGCCCGACATATTCCGTGGAAAAAACGTGGAAAATTCTGGAGAAGACCACACATTAGCTGCACACAGCGGTGAATGCAAGGAAGCCTGTGACAACTCCGTCAATCAAAAATCGTACATGAGTGACATCGGCTAGAAATGAAAAGGCTTTCTTAGGTATCTCAAGTATCTTTTCTGGTCAATGTCGCTTACGCCAGATGTCATTTCCAAAACAGAGAGTAGTGACTCCGACTGGAAATTACTGGCATCTCAAAAGGAAGTTCTTTTTGCAGGAGATAAACCCGGGAGAACACGCTTGAACAAAAAGGTTTCGAGTGGATAGCGCTTGATAACTTGCCATCTTGCCATAAAACATATACCTCTTGCGTTGTTATCAAGTAAAGTATTTCCTTGGGTAAAGTACCATACCTGCACGCTATTTAATTAAATGCGGTATATATATGTTACTTGCCGGCTGGGAGGTCGGTATGGTGAAAAACTGTGACCGAGGGCTTGAAAATGCTACCCGAGGCCGAGGGCAGCATTTTCAAGCCCAAGGTCACAGTTTTTCACCAAACGGACCCACCTTATAAAGCCGGAAAATAACATGTTTATTTTTTTTTTCCTGCAGTAGATTGGCTTTACAGATCACAAATGGGTTTGTTTACACAGCTCTTATCATTCAATGGGCTTGCGCGCCGTCTAGCAACGATTTGTAAAAATAGACAAAAGAAAGATGTATTAAAGAACATACTTTTTTGGAACTACTTTATGTTTGCTGTATTTATTTCACTAATTAAGTTCTCCAAAATTGTTTTTGCGGTGTGAAATTTCGTGCGAAGTTTGAAGTTTTACTACAAAAACAATTTATGTCCGTCCTTGATAGCTTTCAAAATCAACTGAATCGGACTTTTCTACTTTAAATTGAATGGCAGAAAGTGAGAAAATTCGTTATGTGTATACCAGAGAAATTCTCCTAAATACAGCAACGATCAGAGAGGTAAACTTGACTGAAATTTACGGCGAGAGAAACACAGGATTACGCGCAATTACAGCGCCAAGCTACAAACAACCAAACAAACTTTCACAACTTCAAAACACGTAATTGAACTTACTTACAGTGACTTTCCTTGCCATTTTAAAGTGAACAGAGATAAACTTGCATTGACTAATCGTCAATGGATGTGTAAAAGAAGGCAAAAGATTGACGACTACCGTTAACTTCTAGGAGCAATATTTAGGCAGCGGGGGAAAAAATCCGGCCCATGGGCCGTATCGTAAGCTGGAGCGGTAACGTGCGCATGATTAGCCAATCCAATTTGAGGATTCAGGATTCCGGCCCGCTCAGATGCTTGAAAAAAAAAATAAAATTATTAGATATCTTTTCACGAATTTTATCTTTTCAATTCCAAGATGTCAGCAGAATTACTTTTCAACGTTGCAGGTCTTTTGGGATGGGGAGCTGCTTGCACCAATTTTTTTCTTTTGAGGAACCCTTCTTATGGTGTACCTGGCCGTTGTTAGTTTCCCATCAGCGTTTTGTTTTGTTTTGTTCTGTATTTTGTTTTTGTTTTGTTTTTGTTTTTTGTAATGTATGGAAGTATAAAACTCACATCTAAAATAAGTTAGTTACAGTGCGTTTACTGAAACCGGGGCTACCTTGCAAGCTCCTGTAAGCACAAGTAACCAAGCGTACTATAGATTTCAATTTGGCGTACTTTGAACCTAAATTGAGCTTAAATTGTCCTGTTTTTTTTCTCCGAAAATCTTTAAAAAAGTTTAGCCTGGACTGGTGTTCTCTTTTGGTCATTTAAGTGCTCCTAAAATCCGTACGCGAGATTTTTGTTTCCAGTTAAGATCGGTCAACAAGATATCAAATGTGGAAGACCGTTGAAATATATCCCCAGCACCTCCAGTGGCCGCTTAAAGAGGGAGTACATCACCTGAATGTCGTTTTCGGCCGCCGAAAATGGGTTTAATACAAACATCTCGTTCACGTTCCATCTTTGATAATTACACAATTCTATGTTTCGGGGCGTTTTGTAAATTCTGGGTGATGTTAAAATAAAAATCTGTAGTTTAAAGTTATTGGATGGACTCCCAAAACGTCTCGTACCAGCCTGGCGCGCTATTGCGAATTGGTAAATGTAAAATGTAATTTAACGTCAAACACAGGAAGTGCTTGCGCGATCACCCGAGCCAGAGGCTCATGACTAAGTGCGTGACGTCCAGATCGAATTGGAATTTAGAAATGTTGGTTTTTGAGGAGAGAGGGAAACTGCTTGGTGGCGTTTCGAAAACTATTTTCCTTTCATAATTTTATGTGTACCACCTTAATACGAGAACAATTCTTTTACTGAGCGGCCAGTACCAGTTACTCGGGACACTTTCAAAACTTCCGATTTCTTCCAAACGGGCGCAAAAACAAAAGCAGAAACAACAGTCTTGTAAAGCAAATCTCGCTAAGGGAACAAAAGTCAAAAGTTATCAAAATGTGATTCGACATTCCATGTCATCCTCAGCTACAAATGTTCGTTTCACAATTAAATTCGTTATGGAATAACCTAGTCATAACAAAGCCATTTTAAACGGGAACAATAGACTTCTACAGCAAGTATAAAATCGAAAATTGCGAAACGAATCAGATCAGACAGGCTATTTGAATAATTCGAATGACTCCACTAATTATTAAAGGTGTGCCCGGGATTTTTCCAAAGACACACACAATCTATACTTCCCCTAGTTTGAAATTGTGATCCATTTTTCAGGCGCTCATTTTCCCCATCACTGACCTGAGGATGTCATCTTACAAGATTTAGTGATGTAAACGTTATTGATCTACGGCGATTCATCTTCTCTGACTGACTTGATAATTACCTCTGTTCCCTCCAAGATTTCTGGTCATGGTGCGTGCAACCCTGGAATCCGATCATCACCTGATTTATGATACTGTAAACTTGATTAAAGCTAGTCCGGCAAAGCTCTACAATATGGCTTTGCTTCTGCTCCATGGTTTATCTCTGGTATCTTTGATGATATCGACGATTGCGTTTGGGCATAGGAAGCCCTTTACAAGTTCATCCTCGATGAACATATTCCTCATAGAAAAGCTAAAGTTAAATCTAACAGTTTACCTGAATGTCTTCGTCCCTGAGTAAAGAGCTGAATAAGCGATACAATCCGGCTTCTCCATAATGCCCAAAAAACACCAACCCTGAGTAAAGAGCTGAATAAGCGATTCTCCTTAATGCCCAAAAAACACCAAGAGGATCTCCTGAATGGTTGGCTTGCAAGAAACAGAGGAAATTTGTAACTCAATAACAAACTCACCAATACTACATCCAGTAAAGAATTTTGGAACCTAGTCAGATCCTTTCAAAGTAACATGAAGTGCTCTACCATCAGCCAAGTGAAATCCCATTCTGGCTCAGTTCTAACTGACAATATTTCAAAGCAAATGAGTTCAACTCCTATTTTACTAATATATGTTCAACTCTGGCTAATACTAACAGATCATCAACTCGGGACCTTTCGACTCAACCAGTCAATCACATTTACAGAAATACCCCTCAGTACTTTACAGTTTTTTACTGTCAATATAGTTTACATTGTTTCAAGCATTACATCAAAGTGGGAAAAGCCTGTGGCCCTGATAAAATCACTGGCAAAGAACTGATCAGAACTGCAAATGTTGGGTGATGTCTTCATTGATAACTATCTTAACATTGCAAAGCATGTTCCCATCGCAATGGAAGACAGTACAGGTCCACTGCATCCATAAAAACGGTAGTACTCAGGACTGGAAATCACCGTCCAATTTCACTTTTAAGTATACCAAACAAGTTATTAGAAAGTATTATTGCTTTTTCTGAACCAACAAGCTAGTTACTACCCCCCAATGGGGCTTCAGAANAGAGGAAATTTGTAACTCAATAACAAACTCACCAATACTACATCCAGTAAAGAATTTTGGAACCTAGTCAGATCCTTTCAAAGTAACATGAAGTGCTCTACCATCGGCCAAGTGAAATCCCATTCTGGCTCAGTTCTAACTGACAATATTTCAAAGCAAATGAGTTCAACTCCTATTTTACTAATATATGTTCAACTCTGGCTAATACTAACAGATCATCAACTCGGGACCTTTCGACTCAACCAGTCAATCACATTTACAGAAATACCCCTCAGTACTTTACAGTTTTTTACTGTCAATATAGTTTACATTGTTTCAAGCATTACATCAAAGTGGGAAAAGCCTGTGGCCCTGATAAAATCACTGGCAAAGAACTGATCAGAACTGCAAATGCTGGGTGATGTCTTCATTGATAACTATCTTAAC